AGGCTACTGCAAGGTATTTCATGGTTGATTTTCAGGGTATTACCGGGCCATTTGCAGGGTTCTGCAAAATATCGCAGGGCCGTTTTGCATGATTTTGTAAGAAATTGCAGAGGTTTGGTTCTGCAGGGTGTTACAAGGTATTGCAGGGTTGTTGTGCAGAGTATTGCAGGGTCGTCTGCAGGGTGTTGCAAGGTCGTTTTTGTTGTAGGGTATGGCAGGGGTGTGGTTTGCAGCGTATTGCAGGATATTGCCGGGCCGTTTTGCAGGGTATTGCAGGGTCGTTTGCAGGGTGTTACAGGGTCGTTGTGCAGAGTATGGCAGGGGTCTGGTTTCCATGGTATTGCAAAGTCGTGGAATCGGCTTTGTCGTGGAATTGGCTGTGCAAGGGGGGGTGAGTCTCTGCAGGGTACTGCAGGGGGGTCGGCGAGATCCTGGGGACGGTAGGGAGAGGGTATTTCAGGGTGTTGCAGGGTGTTGCAGGGTCTTGCAGGGTATTGCAGGGTCGTTTTGCAGGGCATTGCGGGGTCGTCTGCAGGGATTTGCAGGGTATTGCAGGGTATTGCAGGGGTCTGGTTTGCAGGGTATTGCAGGGTATTGCAGGGTCCGCGCGGATTCTTTGCACCCCCCTTTGCAGGGTATTGCACGGTGCGCGGCGAGGTCCAGGGGAGATGGTATCGAGAAGGTTTCTTAGGAAGTTAGAAGAGAAAGCGTCCTAGACCACCTACGCCCAGAGGGCTGGTGGGATCAGAATTCTGGCTGCAGAAGCATCACATCTGTGAGCCTTGGGCCTCTCTACTTCGTGCGAGAAGCACGGTTGTGGGTTTTTTGTAGGCGTTTGTCGTCATTTGTACACGGTTTAATTTGCATGTATCTGTATCTGTCTATGTATGTGTATGTGGGTATGTATACGTACATGCATATGTATTTGCATAAACGGATATGTTTACATAGGCACTTGTTCCCCACAGACCTTGCACTTAGGGGTTCTTATGTGTTTTCTCAGGAACTGCACCTGACGGCCAGTCTGGCAGCTATGCAGTGGCCGTCGCCGCCCCGTCGCCGCCCGTCGTCTGGGCCTGACGGTTAATCTGACGACTATGCAGTCGCCGTCGCTGCCCCGTCGCCGCTTAGTCTCCGCCCGTCGTCTGGGCCTGCGGGTCGGCTTGGCGGCTATGTTCTCGCCGTCGCTGCCCCGCGGCACCACATAGATGGCACAACATAGATTGTACCACATATTGCACAACCTAGATTGTACAACATAGATTGCACCAGCAGGTTGCACCGCATAGAGTGCACCACACCTATTGCACCACGTATATGACATCGCATAGACATCACAACATATACATTGCACCACGTTGATTGCCCCACGTCGATTGCACCGCATGAGTTGCGAACGCTATATATATATATATATATATATATCACAACATATTTTGCACCGCATATTTTGCGCAGCATATATTGCACAGCATATATTGCACAACGTAGGTAGCAATGTATGTTATACATCTATATACCGCACATCATATATTCGACCATCCTTCGGGTGATATGGAGATTCGGGGGGAGGAACCAACGTCTCACTCAATCGATGTTACTATCGATCTCACTATCGATCTTATGATAGATCTCATTATCGATCTAACTATCGATCTCACTGTCGATCTCACTATCGATCTCACTATCGACCTCACTGTCGATCTTTCGATCGACAACTTTCGATCTCACTAGCGATCTCACAATCGATTCCTCTGCGGGACGCCGACGGGACATCACTATCGATCTCTCTATCGATTTCACTCGATCGATTTCACTGCCGATCTCACGATCGATCTCACTATCGAGCCCACTATCGATCTCACTATCGATTTCACTCGATCGATACCACTATCAATTTGACTATCGATTTCATTATCGATCTCGCTATCGATTCCACTGTCGATCTTACGGTCAACCTCACGGTCGATCTCATTATCGATCTAACTATCGCTCTCACTATCGATCTGACTATCGATCTTACTACAGGATTCCTGCGGGACACCGACGGAACACCGACGGGACACCGACGGGGCCACCACGGAACACCAACGGGACACGACGGGACCTTATCGGGACACCACGGCGGGACATCCTTGTCCACCGCCAGACAATTGGGGCGGCGGTCTTTTGGCCAGGCCGCGCCCTAGCCACTTGAGGGAGCAATTCTCACGCCCGCCCGCGCAGTTCCGCCTCGCCCGAACGCACGACACGAACACGAAACCGAAACAGATTTCCCTGCGGGGGCTCTCCGTTCCACGGCGATCTCACCCCCTCACCTCCGATTGCACCACACAGACTGCACACCATACTTATCCGACCACCCTTCGGGCGACAAGGAGGTTGGGGAATGGGGGGGAAAGAACCAGCTGCTGGCAAATGCGATGGGTGTGATGATGACGAGGCTGGTGACGCGCCCTCGAGTTACTGACGACGCGTGATGACGATGTTGCACTGCGATATAATGTCACTATCGTCTCCCCTTTCTATCTCACAAGCAATGTCACAGTCAACCTTTCTGTCGATCTCACTTTTGATCCCATTATCCATCCCATTCTAGCGATCTCGTTATCGATCTCACTATCGACTTCACTACCGATGCCAAGGCGGGACACCCCCGGCCTGTCTGTCGGTCTGGCGGCTCCGTGCTCGCCGTCGTCGCCCCGTCGCCGCCTTGTCGTTGAATTGCTTTGCATTGCGTTTCTTTGCCTTGCATTATATTGCATTGCTTTGCATTGCGTTGCTTCGCTTTGCTTTGCATTGCCTTGCCGTGCTTTACGTTGCTTTCATTTCTTGTGCGTTGCTTTGCGGTGCTTTGCATGGTACGTTTTTGCATTGTTGTGTATTGTTTTGTGTTGACATGCGTTGCTTTGAACTGCTTTGCGTTGTTTTGCATTGCTTTGCATTGCGTTGCTGTGCGTTGCTTTGCATTGATTTGCATTGCTCTGCATCGCGTTGTTTTGCCTTGCTTAGCGCTGCTTTGCTTTGCATTGCTGTGCATTGCTCTGCATTACTTTGTCTGGCTTTGCATTGTTTTGCATTGTTTTGCGTTGCTTTGCATTGCCTTACATCGCTTTGTCTTGCATTTAGTTGTCGGGCTCTGCATTGCCACATGAATTGCACCACATGGGGGCACCATCTAGATAATATATCATTGGTTGCACCATCCAGATGGCACCGCATCGATACCACGACATCGCTGTCATATATCGCATGGCTTATTTTGCATATTGCACAACATGTATTGCACAACATATTTTGAACCAAGTAGGTTTAACCACCTAGATAGCACCACATATACGGCTAGAAGCACACTGTTTGGGGCCCACGCAGGCTAACATACCAATATGGATATGCATCTGACGAGATAGGCCAAACTGTAGTTGAGTAGGTACACGTGTAGGCCTATGTGTATGTATAGTTCGATGTAGATGTATGTGTGCTTATGTATTCGTAAGTATGCATGTATGTGGGTGTATGTGCCATTGGTTCCATATACACGTGGGCACGATTGTGGTTATGCATATGTATGTGTACATGTATATGTACATGTATGTGTGTGTACATTTGTATGTGTAAACGTGTGTGTAACTGTTTACGCTTATGTGCATATATATATACATCCATATGTACGTGGTCCGGTATGTGCAAATGTGTGGTTCTATGTACGTATCTATACACGTATATTCGCATGTGCATGTACATGTATATGCAAACGCATATGTATATGTATACGTGTATGTATAGATCTGTGTATATATACGTATTTGTATCTGGTCACGAAGAAATGCGTGCAAGTGTGCAGATGTACATGTATACGTATACGTATGAGTATATGTATGCGTATACGTGAATGCATACATCATGTATATGTATACGTAGGTGTACCTGTACACGAATGGTTATGCGTACATGCAGATGCGTGTGCATGTAGGTGCATGTTTATATACATGCACACATATCGATATGCGTGTATGTATTTGCGCATGCGAACTTATTAATGTGTATATATTTGTGTATACGTATATGTATAGGTATATTATATGTGTGTAGGTACATGTGTATGTGTATGACTTAGTTATATACGCATGCTCGTATGTATATGTTAGGGGTATGCATTCGTATACGTACAGGTATATCATATGTATTTGTATATGTACCTCTATAGGTATGACTAGTTATACTTAACTTTTATGTATACGTACGCGTATACCATATGTAGGTGCGCATGCTTATGAATACGCACACGTATGTGTATATACATATATTTATGTATATATACATATATATATGTCTGCATATAGGTATGCACATGGTTAGGTATATGTACGTACACATGCATATGTTTATGATTATGTTTGTGTTTATGCATGCCTTTTTATATGTGAATGTGCATGTATATAGTTATACGCATCCCTCCCCTGCTCCCCTGCTGCCTTCAACCTCCCCTCGTTCGTCCTCTCCCTCTCTCCTCCCTTCTTTCTTCTCTCTCATCCCTCCTCTCCCTCTGTCCTCCCTTCTCTCCCCCTCCCGCCTCTTCTCTTTCCGTCTCCAAACCTCGAAAGGCGTTCCGATCGCCAAGGTTTCCCGACCAGGCTCAATGACTGGCACATGGGATTGCAAGTATACCGCTTGCTCCCGCTCGGCGGGGGGATTGATTGGTTCGAAGAGGTGCGTGGTTGTTGCAGCTGGAAAGCAGCCGAACTTGCAATTCTGGAGTATTGCTCTTAGGCGGAGTTGTTTGCACAGCTAAGGGTGTCGGGCCTCCTGGCCTCTCATGACACAGTACATACATACATCCCTCCTCCCTGCCTGTTCTCCTCGTCCTTTCCTTGTTGTTGTTGTTGTTGTTGCTGTTGTTGTTGTTGTTGTTGTTGTTGTTGTTGTTGTTGTTGTTGTTGTCGTTGTTGTGGTTGTGCGAGTCGAGACCGTCGCCGAGCCGCGCCCCGCGCTCTGCTGAGGCTCCTTCAACAGCGCGGCACGCCGGCGGTCTCCGAGGCCGTGCGGAGGCTGCAGCAGCGCAGGCAGGAACGCAAGAAGGTGTCCTTGCTTCAGTGGCAGGACCGGGCGGAGGCCCCGCGGCGCCGACCGGGCGCTCACGGGGAGGGGCAGATGGGAGAGGGGGGTCAGGAGCCAGGCGGGAGGAGGAAGGAGGGACGAGGGAAAAAAAGGGCGGAATGAGGGAAAAAGGGGGGGAGAAGGGGGAGGAGGGGAGACGATGGCAACGAGTATGGGGAGGGAGGGCGAGGAAGATGCTGGTGGGGGGCACGAGGAGAAGAAGGATGAGGAGGAGGATGAGGACCTGTGTGAACCTAGAGCTCATCCACGGTGTTCGAATAGATCCTCCCTCCAAGCTCCTTCCCATAGGCCCCTACAAGTGCTCATTTCCACTGAGGTAACTTCGTTGGGAGTAATCCGTTTGCAGACCCTGAAGCGTTCCGAAACACCATTATCGGGACTCCAACGCAACGAATCAACATGAGCCTTGCGTCTCAGCGATTCAGAATCTTGCCAGAAGACCTCTTCTGGGAATGCGACACCTCGAATCAACGTATCTGTTGCCCCCTCACAATCCTCAGTCCTTCCCTCTTGCAAGTGTTGAAGACGAGAACGCGCGTCGCTAAGCCCGCCCTCAATTCGTGAAACCTCCTGCAAATGTTTAAATGACTGTGCGCGGCGCCAAGGCGAGAGCCACATTTTGAAGACCACCCGCCCTCAATCCGTGAATTCCCTGCAATTGTTACGAAAAAATCGCGCGGCGCTAATGAGAGATCCACATTTTGGAAACGACCCGCCCTCAATCCATGAATATGTTGCAATTGTTTGAAACGAATGTGCGCGGCGCTGAGGCGAGAGCCACATTCTGGAAAATCACCCGCCCTCCATTTGCGAAGCTGTTGCCAACTTGTAGGCTTCAGGGTCATGAATGGTGAGGGAGTTTCATGCGAAACGCCTGGCTCGCCATTTTGGTCTCGGGGTGCGACAGGGAGAAGTTGTTTATATGGAAAAGGGATGGAGAAGGAGGAGGAGGAGCAGGAGGAGGAGGAGCAGGAGGAGGAGGAGGAGGAGGAGGAGATGGAAGATGAGGAAGGGCAGACGGAGGAGGAGGAGGAGTAGGAGGAGGAGCAGCAGCGGAAGAAGGAGGAGGAGGAGCAGGAGGAGCAGGAGGGGGAGGAGCAGGAGGGGGAGGAGCAGGGGGGGGGGGTAGGATGATGAGGACGACGATGAGGATGAGGAGACGTAGCGCGTGGAGGAGGTGGAGAGGGAGGATATTGGAGGGGGGGCAGGGAAGGAGGGGGAACATGTGGGCGTGGAGGAGGACGAGTTGCAGGAAGAGCAGGAAGCGGGAAAGGAGAAAGTATAGGATGACGATGATGATGAGGGATGGAAGCAGGTCAAAACAATGTCGCTGCTGCTGCTGCTAACGGTGATGATGAAGATGGTGGTGGTGACGATCATAATGATCGTGCGGGTGATGAGGTGAGGAGGAGAAGGAGGACGGGAAGAAGCAGGAGGATGACAAAGAGGGGGAAGAGGAGGAGGAGGAGGAGGAGGAGGAGGAGGAAGAGGAGGAGGAGGAGAAGGATGAGCGGCACGCGGCACTGGGAGGATGAGAAGGAGGGATGACTGGAACGGAGAGGAAGGAGAAGGGTGTGGGAGGAGGATGAGAAGGCGGTAATGGAGGGAGAGCATGAACAGCTTTATTGCCAGTGGGAGGAGGAGTAGGAGGATGGGAGTAAGGAGGCGAAGGTAAAAACGATGATCATGATGATGGTGGTGCTGCTGCTGCTGATGTTGATGATGATGGTGACGGCGATAGAGATGCTGATGATGCTGATAATGATGATGATATGTTGATGCTGGTGATGATGATAATGTTGATGCTGATGCTGATGATGACTATGATGACGACGATACTGATGCGGATGCTGGTCATAATGCTGATGATGATGGTACTGATGATGCTGAGATTGTTGATGATTGTGGTGGTGATGATGGTGGTGGTGGTGACGACGGTGGTGGTGATGACGAGGCTGATGTTGATGTTGCACATGATGCTGATGACGAGTCTGATGATGGTGATGATGCTGATTCCTATGCAGATGCTGCTGATCATGATGGTGATGCTGATGATGATGGTGGTTGTGTCAGCGAAGGTGCTGATCACGATGCTGACGATGATGACGATGATGCTGGTAATAGTGATGATGACACTGATGATGATACTGATACTGATGCTGCTGATGATGATGATGCTGATGCTGGCGATGATGATGCAGATTATCATTACCATTCGTGTTATGGAAATTATTGCTCTGGTGATGATGAGTGTGATGATGCTGATGATGGTTCTGCTTCTGATCATGATGATGCTGACGATGACGACGACGCCGATCACGACGATGGTGATGACGCGGATCAGGAGGGTGGTGATGACGATGATGCTGGGGTCGTCGATGTTGTTGCTGATGATGATGAGGATGGTGTTGATACTGATTCTGATTATGCTGCTGACGATGCTGATGATGACGATGCTGATAACGATGATGATGCAGATGATGATGATGATGCTGATGATGATGATGCTGATGATGATGAGGTAATGATGCTGGCGAAGATGATGATGCTGCTGATGGTGATGATGTTGATGATGATGCTTATTGAGATGATGATAGCGATGCTGATGCTGCTGCTGCTGATGGTACTGCTTATGATGAGGATCACGACGATGACGATGGCGATGATGTTGATGATGTTGATGATGAGAGTGATGCTGATTATGGTGATGATTATGATGATGATGTTGAGGATGAGGATGGCGATGCAGATGCCGACGATGCTTATGACGATTATGAGTATGACGCTGATGGATTCATTGCTTGATTGATTCATTGTGCAATCAGTTATGAATTGATTGAGTAATGATGGTGATGGTGATGGTGATGGTGGTGGTGATGATGGCGATGAGGAGGGTGATGATGTTGACGATGATGCTGGTTATTGTCAGGACGATGACTATGATTATGCTTATGTTAATGTTGATGTTGCTGCTGACATAGATATTGATGTTGTTGGTGGTGATGACGATGATGATGCCAATGTTAGGGATGATGATGAGCATTATGATAAGGATGGTGATGATGCTGCTGATGATGCTCATGATGCTGCTGCTGCTGATGATGATGATGATGATGCTGCTGCTGATGCTGATGATTATTGTGAGGATGAGGATGAGGATGAGGATGATGATGAGAATGTTGATGATGATGGTGATGCTGATTCTGATGACGACGACGCTGACGAGGGCAATCATGATGAGGATGAGCAGGAGGGATGGAGCCAGGGAGGGAGGAGGAGGAACAGTGAGCAGGAAGGGGAAGCGTTTGCAGGAACAGTGAGCAGGGAGAGGAGCCGCTACGTACTCCTGCTGGGGGGTTCTCGCCTGGCAGGCCTCCGAGCTCGAGGAGGCGGCGTGGGCGGACCTCGCGGACGGCATGCAGGAGACCGCCCCGCCGCGCCGACAGGACGCCGTCATCCCTTCGCGCGTGGGAGCGTGCGAGGAGGAGGAGGAGGAGGAGGAGGAGGAGGGGGAGGCGGAGGCGGAGGTGGAGGCGGAGGCGCAGGTGGAGGCGGAGCAGGAGGAGGAGCAGGAGGAGGAGGAGGAGGAGGAGGAGGAGGAGAAGGAGGAGGAGGGAGAGTTACTGGCTACGCGTAGGAGAGACCGTTCGCCGGGGGAACCTTGATGAGGAGCGATGGCAGGAGGATGAGCAGGAAGAGGAGCAGGAGGAGCAGGAAGCAGGGGGAGGCCTCCCCCTGCCTTTTTTTTTTTTTTTTTTTGTTTTTTTTTCTGCGCAAGAAAAAAAAAAGCAGGGGGAGGGAGGGTGAGATTGGGGAGGAGGAGGATGTTCTGCAAGCGTATGGGTGCTGTCTTGTCGGAGATGCCTGGGGCGCCCTTGTTGCCACGGCTGGATCGGCGTGGCAGTTTTGCCCAGTACGCACCCTGGGAAAGGTCAGTGGTTTGCCATTGATGCCCAGAATCGGGGAGAAGGGAACGCGAAGGAGGAGGAGGAGGAGGAGGAGGAGGTCCTGGGCCCTCTCCTGGGCCTTTCTTTTTTCGCCCTTTTTGGCCCCCGCCCCCTCCCTCGCGGAGCCTAGATGGCTCCTTCCCTGGGCATCCTGGCGGGGGTATGTGTAGGGGGAGGTGGTCCCCCCAGCGCGCCTTCGGCGCACGCGCGGGCCCGCCCGCGCGGACGGCTGCGTCCCGCGAGGACATTGAGCCGCGAGCGAAGCGAAGCGAAGGAGGAGGAGGAGGGAAGGAAGAGGGGGGGAGGGAAATAATGTTCTCGGCGGTGTTCGAGAGCCGCGGTGGTGCGCTACAGAAGGAGGGGCCCATCTTCCGTCCTGGTCGCGATTTGATCGCCCGATCGGTCGGACTCGCACTTTCGGTGTAAGCTTGTCTTCCCCAGTTTGTCCTTCTCGCCGTCTCTGTCTGCTGTTGGGCCGTAGTTCGAGGCGTCCCAGACGAGGTCCGAGTAGATAGGGTCGCATGATCGCGCCGCATCGTCGATGCATCGGCAATGCGGTTCAATGTGTACCCCGACGTTCTCCACGACGACGTCGGCGATGTATCGCCGATGCGGCGCGATCGTCCGACCCCATCTACTCGGACCCAGTTTGAGAGACCGCTAGTAGTCTAGCATCGAACCCGTGCCTTTGAACATAGCCCTCCAATTGCTGTTCCGCCTGCATTGCTGGGGGACCTCTGTAAGTGCGCGATCCGCCTCAGGCGGGTGGGTCTGTCAGAAGACCGGACCAAGCCTATGCTGATCTTTCCTTCGTCAGCTTTCGGCCTGGGGCGCCGCGCCGTTGACGCGCGCATCAGACGGCCGATGAACAGAGGCAGAGCAGCCTAGGCAGGACGGGCAGAGGAGAGGGAGGGGGAGGAGTGGAGAGAGGGCGACGGGAACGCGGGACTGGTCACCCCATTCCTTTATGCAGCGGGTTAAACCTTTCGGTGCCAGTGCATCAACATGCGCGCGTGGTCGCCCAGTGCATTCTCTCTCTCTCTCTCTCTTTCTGTTTTCCTCTCTCTCTCTCTCTCGCTCTTGCTCGGCGCCCTCCCCCTCATATGATTCCCCACATGGGACTCTCCCGACAGGTTCGCCCCCGGGCATTCCCCCCCCGTAGAGCTCTTCACATAGGAGTCTCCCATGAAGGACCCCCCTCGTAGGACTCCTCACTGGAGGATTCCCCCATATTGCCCCCTCCCCCCCCCCCTCCGTGAGGCTCACCCTGTTTGGTTCTACCCGCACGATGCCCCCGCACAGGGATCATCCCCATTGGATTTCTTTCGTAGTTCTCTCCGCGGGACCCCCCCAATCCGATCCCTCCTCCCCACACATTCTCCTTTTTTTTTGAAGAAACATAGGACCTCCCCCCGTCCCCCCCGAGTTAACCGTTTCCCCTGGCATAGTACAATTGACATCGGATTCGACCCCATCCTTCATTTTGAATATGTACTCATGCCACCTCAGGTGGGCTGGTATTTCCCCCCTGCCATCTATGTCAAACAGTTTTATGCCATGCGCGCGCACTCACTTGTCGAATCTCACCAATTTTCACGAATCCCGTTCACAAAGCGACACGAAGTCGACACGCGCGCGGAGTCGCGCGCACATGTCGGAATCAGTCAAACACGTGAAGTTTCGTGCAGGTTTCAAGATCGAGGTTTCCGACAGCACATGAGACAACGCACATGGTCTTGCAACATTGCCTTTCGAAAACATCCACGCGCGCGCTCTTGCAAGTTCTTGAGAACCGTGCTTCTCCGAAATTTTGAAAAGCAGCATGCGACCATGCGGGCCTCTCGCGCGCGCGTGCCGAACTCATTCAAACGCCCTCGCGCGCTTGTTGGGGGGGGGCACGATCCTGTTCAAGTAATACCATGCGGGCCACTCGCGCGCGTCGGCTGCGCGCGCATGCCGAAGTTCTCCTCCTTCATCACCGACACATAGACATCATCGTCTTCATCGGCTTTTCCAGCATCGGTGGTGTCGTTGGCCTTGCCGCCTTCATCATAGTCAGCATCGTCCCCCCCATCGCTATCATCAGTGTGTCCGCCGTTGTCAACGTCACCATGATACTGCGCCCGCCCGAGTCAGCGACCCGCACTGCAGAGCCCGCGCGCTAGCGAGGCCTGCGAGACGCGCTGGGAAGTCCCCCCGCGGTCAGCGCCACCACGGCCGCGTCGGTTGTGCCAAAGTAGCTGGCCGTTGTGCGCGCGAGCATGGGCGCGCCAGGGCGGCCGCAAAGACGCGCCAGCCAGCGCTAAGCAGTCATCGCAATCACCGCCGCATGGGTGGTGCAAGCCAAGTTGCGGGTGGGTGGGTGGGTGGGATGTTGCACGAACATGGGAGGTTGTCGATTTGAGTTATCACAGTAAGACCTCCCCATCGGATTCGGCCCATCGGGCTCCCCCCGCAGGGCTCTCCCGCAAGGTTTCCCTCCCATTACTCCCCCGATCGGATCCCCTCCAGAGAATTCCTTCCCATAGGGCTGTCCCCAAAGAGTTCGCCCAAGAAGGCCCGCAGAGGAAAGACATATCTTACGCTTCGACTGCCCATGGCAGCCCATGTAGAGACAGAGCCCCAGCGAGTTGCGGGAAGAAGGGGTCTCTGGATAGTCATGCAGTGCGCAAGTGGCCAACAAGAGTGAACGTTGAAATTTGTGTGGAAGTTTTTGGGGCATCCTAAAAGCATGTGTGATTGCCAAAGCCTTACATCAGGCGATCGCAAACATGGATCAAGGGGGCGTGGATTAGCGGCGGGCCCCGTTTCCAGTGGAAATTCTAGACGCTTCGCGTAACCCCACCAGACTGCGGCCAATAATCTTCGTTCAGCGCCCCGAACGTTGCCCCGCTTCTTGACCTTCGTCCTGGAGCCGCCGACCAAAAAAAGTAACCCCACCAGCCCCCGCGGCGCCTGCCCAGCCGCCTTGCTCCGCTCTAGTCGTCGCTTGGGCATCTCCTTTGCCGTTCAGCGGCCGTGGACCCCTCCCCTGGGTCCCCGTCTGCCCTCTGCGGCCCCATCGCCTTGGCCCTGCCCCAGCGTGCGAGGCCGCAGGGAAACCCCCTCGGCCCGACGCGCTGGCCTCCAGGCTCCCCCCCACTGGGGGGTACTCGCCCCGGCGGTTCTCCATCTGTTCCCGCCTCCCACCCAGCCTGCGGCCGTTAGTCGCTCCTCGTCGCCACAGGTACCTCGTACCGCGCGTTCTCTCTACCAGACCTGCGACCGTTAGCCGCCTTCACCTCGCTTTCTTCGCTGCTCCAGACCCCGCGCGCGAGGTCGCAGGGAAACCCCCTCGGCCCTGGGCGCTGGTCTGCATGCATCCCCCTCCGTGGGGGTCTCTCCCTGGGCGTCCCGGCGGTCCGCTTTTCGCCTGTCCCTCCTGCCGCCTGCCTCCCCTTCCCCGTGCTGAGTCGACGGACACCTGGTCCTCCCCCACCGCGCTGCTCATCCCGTACAGTCCTCAGGCTGAGCCCTCCTGCCACCTGGGCGGCGCGTGCCGCTCGCACCCGCCCTATCGGCGCTTCCCCTTCCAGTCTTCTGTCTGGGCCATCTCGCCTCCTTGGCGGCGCGGGCTGCTGCCGCCGCTGCCGCCGCCCCCGCCGCCACCGCCACCGCCGCCGCCACCGCCGCAGCCGCCGCAGCCGCTGCCCCCACCGCAGCCGCCGCAGCCGCCGCCGCCGCCGCCAAGTGTACTTTGTATTGTTATTTGGCAGGGATGGTGAGGGGAGGCCGCATCGGATTCGCTGCGCATGCTCCGAATTTGGAGGCAGAGTGTGTTTTTGCTTGTTTTTTACATGGGATGGTGGGGGGGTGCCCTCATTGTCCCTGGTTGACTCCCAGTCGCCTGGGGGAGGGGGTGTACACTAATAGGGAACAGTGATCAAGACTCCTACAAGGAGCAAGCCGTGTAGCTCACTCCCACCCGCCCTCCCAACACATAAGTAACACCGGGCCAAAGGACGAAAGGTTTGAACCCCCGAAGAGGCTCTGTCAAATACCAATGCAAGGGTCCCGACGGGACAATCGCAATCCCGCCAGCTACGGCTTGAGTGCGACAGGAGAGGGGGGCGGGCCCGCTTATCCCTATTCCGTTGGAGAACCCGGCCCTGCTGGCGCCCCTGGAGTCAGGGCTTCGTTTTCCTCGGGGCCTGATTGTTTCATGCGAACACATTCATTCAACAGCTTGTTTGTAAGAGCCTCGTCGGATTTCGAATATGGTGCCGCTGTTGGCTCCCCTTCGTCTGCGGCGAGCCGCGCACAGTGGAGGTGGAGGAGGAGGAAGAGGAGGAAGGTCAGGGGCAGGAGGAGGACGAGGAGGAACAGATGCAGGCGGAGGAGGACGAGGAGGGAGGAGGAGGAGGAGGAAGAGAAGCAGGAGGAGGAACGGAGGATCCCCACAGGTGCCGGGGGGGCCGGTGGAGAGGGTTTTTTTG